ACGGTTCATATAGGCTACACATTGGTGGTGGATGAGGTGAGTTTATGTACTATAAAGCATTGAGATCCTATAATTCGGTGACGTGATTCTATTTGTAATTGTATGCTCTAAAGTGTGAAAATAACTTTCAGCGTCTGTAAAAGCACTACATAACTCCAATCAATGATCAATTATTATTAATTCATTAGGCTATATCCTATATATCCTGAGTAAGAATGCTACGTTAACAGATTTCCACAAGTCCAGAGATTAACTCAGGAACATGGTGTATTTAAAGGCTCTGGGAGGTTTTATGTTCAGTTAGCTAAGACCCCAACAGCCACTTCACTAAGATCCCTCTGTGGTCTGACTCTGCACATGGACAGGAACAGAACCTCACAGAACCACTATATGAAGACAATGAACCACATAATAATGCTAAATGAATTTAACTGAACTTATAAAACCTGTAGCGGGTGATTTGGACGGAGTCAGGCGCAGGAGGTTAATACACAGAATAAATGGTTTATTCGGCAGATACAGCAGTATGCAGCAATGCGTAAAACACTACAGTGCGGTATAACGGCGCACTGGAGAAAAACAAAACACATGGGTGAATATCCCGGCGATACCATACAATAAAGCTCCACCGAGATATCATCACCTCTACAGGAAAACAATCACACACAAAGGCGTGGGGCAGAGGGAACACTTATACGGGTACTGATGAGGGGATATAAACCAGTTGTGTGTAAAAACAAGACAAAACAAATGGAATTATGAGATGAGGAGCGGCAGTGGCTAGAAGGCCGGTGACGACGAGCGCCGAAGCCTGCCCGAACAAGGAGAGGAGGCAGCTTCAGAGGAATTCGTGACAGTACTCCCCCCTTGACTTGCAGCTCCAGCAGCGCGCCGACACCGGCCTCGGGGACGGCCAGGAGGACGCGGAGCAGGGCGAGCCGGATGGCGACGGTGGAAATTCCGCAACAGGGAGGGATCGAGGACATCCCTCACCGGGACCCAGCACCGCTCCTCCGGACCGTACCCCTCCCACTCCACGAGGTACTGAAGGCCCCCTACCCGACTCCTTGAATCCAGGATGGAATGGACGGAGTATGCCGGGGCCCCCTCGATGTCCAGAGGGGGTGGACGACCTCCCGCACCTCAGACTACTGGAGCAGACCAGCCACCACCGGCCTGAGGAGAGACACGTGAAACGAGGGGTTAATACGGTAATCAGGAGGGAGTAGTAACCTATACGTATACTCGTTTACTCTCCTCAGGACTTTGAACGGCCCCATAAACCGCAGGCTCAGCTTCCGGCAGGGCAGGCGGATCACCCGGTACAAAGACCGGGGCTTCACTGCGGTGGCGGTCATCATTGGCCTTCTTGCGACGCACGGCACGCTGGAGGTGGACGTGGGCAGCGTTCCACGTCTCCTCCGTGCGCTGAAACCAGTCATCCACCGCAGGAGCTTTGGTCTGGCTCTGATGCCACGGTGCCAGAACTGGCTGATGACCTAGAACACATTGAAATGGAGATAGGTTAGTGGAGGAGTGGCGGAGAGAGTTCTGGGCATATTCGGCCCATGGCAAGAACACCGACCACTCCCCCGGCCGGTCCTGGCAGTAGGACCGCAGGAACCTACCCACATCCTGATTCACCCATTCCACCTGCCCATTAGATAAGGGGTGAAACGCAGAGGTCAGGCTGACCGAGACCCCCAGACATTCCATGAACGCCTTTCAGACCCTGGACGTAAACTGGGGCCCCAGTCAGACACTATGTCCTCTGGCACCCCGTAGTAACAGAAGATGTGAGTAAACAGGGCTTCCGCAGTTTGCAGGGCCGTGGGGAGACCGGGCAGAGGAAGGAGATGGCAGGCTTTAGAAAAGCGGTCCACAATGACCAGGATGGTGGTGTTACCCTGAGAGAGGGGAAGATCAGTTAGGTAGACAATTGATAAGTGGGACCATGGCCGTTGTGGAACTGGTTAGGGATGTAACTTACCTGCTGGAAGGTGCCTAGGTGGCTTACTCTGGGCACACACCGAGCAGGTGGAGACATACACCCTCACGTCCTTAGCCAAGGTAGGCCACCAGTACTTCCCGGTCAGGCAGCGCACTGTACGGCCGATGCCTGGGTGACCAGAGGAGGGGGACGTGTGTGCCCAATAGATAAGACGATCACAGACAATAGATGTCATGTACCGCAGCCCAGCTCGGCACTGAGTTGGAGATGGCTCTGTGCGTAATGCCCGCTATATGTCCGCGTCCACGGCCCACACTACCAGCAACTCTGCCTAGAAGGTCAGCATCCCAGAGTCACCACTTCACTGTTGACGTTGTGACTGGTGTTTTGCGGGTACAATTTAATGAAGCTGCCAGTTGAGGACCTGTGAGGCATCTGTTTCTCAAACTAGACACATGTATTTGTCCTCTTGCTCAGTTGTGCACCGGGGCCTCCCACTCCTCTTTCTATTCTGGTTAGAGCCAGTGTGCGCTGTTCTGTGAAGGGAATAGTACGCAGAGTTGTACGAGATCTTCAGTTTCTTGGCAATTTCTCGCATGGAATAGCCTTCATTACTCAGAACATGAATAGACTGACGAGTTTCAGAAGAAAGTTATTTGTTTCTGGCCATTTTGAGCCTGTAATCGAACCCACAATTGCTGATGCTCCAGTTACTCAACTAGTCTCAAGAAGGCCTGTTTAAACAGTTTTCAGCTGTGCTAACACAATTGCAAAAGGGTTTTCTAATTATCAATTAGCCTTTTAAAATGATAAACTTGGATTAGCAAACACAACATGCCATTGGAACACAGGACTGATGGTTGCTGATAATGGGCCTCTGTATGCCTATGTAGATATTCCATAAAAAATCTGCCGTTTCCAGCTACAATAGCCATCTACAACATTAACAATGTCTACACTGTATTTCTGATCTATTTTATTTTATTTTAATGGACAAAAAAATTGCTTTTCTTTCGAAAACAAGGACATTTCTAAGTGACCCCAAACTTTTCAACGGTAGTGTACATACAGTGCCTTCGTAAAGTATTCAGACCCTTTTACTTTTTCCAATTTTTTTTACGTTACAGCCTTATTCTAAAATGGATTAAATCAAAAGAAATCCTCAGCAATCTACACACAATACCCCATAATGACAAAGCGAAAAAAGGTTTTTAGAAATGTTTGCAAATGTATAGAAAATAAAATAATAAAATACCTTATTTACATAAGTATTTAGACCCTTTGCTATGAGTCTCGAAATTGAGCTCAGGTGCATCCTGTTTCCATTGATAATCCTTGAGATGTTTCTACAACCTGATTGGAGTCCACCTGTGGTAAATTCAATTGATTTAACATGATTTGGAAAGGCACACACCTGTCTATAAAAGGTTCCACAGTTGACAGTGCATGTCAGAGCAAAAACCAAACCATGAGATCGAAGGAATTATCCGTAGAGCTCCGAGACAGGATTGTGTCGAGGCACAGCTCTGGGGAAAGGTACCAAAACATTTCTGCAGCATTGAAGGTCCCCAAGAACACAGTGGCCTCCATCAATTCTTAAATGGAAGAAGTTTGGAACCACCAAGACTCTTCCTAGAGCTGGCCGCCCGGCCAATCTGAGCAATCGGGGGAGAAGGGCCTTGGTCAGGGAGGTGACCAAGAACCCGATGGTCACTCTGACAGAGCTCTAGAGTTCCTCTGTGGAGATGGGAGAACCTTCCAGAAGGACAACCATCTCTGCAGCACTCCACCAATCAGGCCTTTATGGTAGAGTGGCCAGACGGAAGCCACTCCTCAGTAAAAAGGCATATGACAGCCCTCTTGGAGTTTGTCAAAAAGCACCTAAAGACTCTCAGACCATGAGAAACAAGATTCTCTGGTTTCATGAAACCAAGATTGAACTCTATGGCCTGAATGCAAAGCGTCACGTCTGGAGGAAACCTGGCACCATCCCTACGGTGAAGCATGGTGGTGGCAGCATCATGCTGTGGTGATGTTTTTCAGCAGCAGGAACTGGGAGACTAGTCAAGATCAAGGCAAAGATGAACAGAGCAAAGTAGAGAGAGATCCTTGATGAAAACCTGCTCCAGAGCGCTCAGAACCTCAGACTGGGGCGAAGGTTCACCTTCCAACAGGACAACGACCCTAAGCACACAGCCAAGACAACGCAGGAGTGGCTTCGGGACAAGTCTCAATGTCCTTGAGTGGCCCAGCCAGAGCCCGGACTTGCACCCGTTCGAACATCTCTAGAGAGACCTGAAAATAGCTGTGCAGAAACACTCCCCATCCAACCTGACAGAGCTTAAGAGGATCTGCAGAGAAGAATGGGAGAAACTTCCAAAATACAGGTTTGCCAAGCTTGTAGCGTCATACCCAAGAAGACTCGTTGCTGTAATCGCTGCCAAAGGTGCTTCAACAAAGTACTGAGTAAACGGTCTGAATACTTATGTAAATGTTCTATTTCCATTTTTTATATTTAATAAATTAGCAAACATTTCTAATAACCTGTTTTTGCTTAGTCATTATGGGGTATTGTGATGGGATGGGATGAGATGGGATGGGATAGGATGAGATGGGATGAGATGGTATGGGATGGGATGGGATGAGATGGCGCCCTGGCCTGTTATCTGTAACTCTAGACTAGCTGCAGCAGACCAATTTCCTCTACAGCAATGGCTATACCCCAGAGGGGGAGGGCAGAAACCGAAAGGGCATCAGCACCACATTATAGCATATGATGTTAACATTATAAGTGCTGATATAGAAACTTCTTCACTCCCCCACACAGCCACTCGCTTTATGACTCTGGAAACACTTCTAAGCAAATGGTTGTGGGAGAACTATTTATTTATTAATTTGTTTGTTTATTTATTAAATGTTTTATTTAAACATGCATTTTAACATTTATTTAGTCAGGAAAGTAATTGAGAACAAATTATTTTTTACAATAATGACCTGGTTGGTCAAGACTGAAGTAAACCATTGAGTACAGTTGGTTACCTTGCTAACATTAGGTGCATCTTTGACTCTGTTGGCAGCTTGAAGGAGGCAGGTGGGGATTGGGGGTGGAGACCTTTGGATGATGCCCCTGTAGCAGGTGGTGTAATGGGGGCGAGGACCCACGGGAGAGGGGGCGGACCTTTGGCCCTTCCTCCTCGACGTCAGGTTCATTTTCTGGGCTGCCCTGTGGAAAGACAGGATGTGGACCTTTCAAAAACACAGTAGGTACATTCTCAATGATGATTGAGAAACAGATTAATTATGTAAGATTTGTTTTAATCATTCATTTAAAAGCTACCTGAAGGAACCCATGTCTACTCTGTAGACATCTAACTGACCAGCTTTACACATACAGTACCTGACCAGAAAGGAGAAGGTTGCAGGAGTCATTGGACTGCTCTGAACCGGCACAGTCTCACTCTGTCCCTCTGAGAACTCCTCTGAAAACTGTGGAGAGAAGGAGAAGGATCATCTTTAGGTTTAGAATATCCATAGCCTGGCGGTCCTGTCTGTTTGGGCTAGTAGCCAACTCCTCTTTGAGTTTGTTCAATGTCATGCCAAAGTATGGCTTCACAATGATAGAAGAATTGGCTGGTATGGGACCAGGCTAGATTAGTCAGAAGGTTAAAATTGGCATTTTGCCTAATACCAACCGAGACTGAATAAAAGCTCACAGAGTAGAACTAAGGCAATTAGACCAAGAGTGGCTCATCAGTGGTTCATCTGTAGATGTGGGGCATTAGGATGAAAGCACATTGGGTTAATGGGACATTCATCATATAGCTCTACATATAGACTAGTAGTGTCACACATGGGACATATAGATAGGTTGAATTGAGACATGACTCAGACATTCAGACTCAGTGCCCCTACTGAACATACTCTGAACGTACTGCATCTCACTATTACACAGCACATACTCCCGAGGCAGAGGATGTGTGTGAAGAGTCCCACTCTGAACTCAACGCTGCTTTCCCTTCCCTCCATCCCTGGTGTGTGTGTGTCTGTGTCTGTGTCTGTGTGTGTGTGTGTGTTACATTGACAGGAAGCTGTGGCCTTCTCTCTACTCCCTGTATGTGTTCATATGAAGTCTTGGCTGAGAGCGAAAATGACAGCCAGAGACTTGTTTTATAGTGGCCCCCTCTGCAGCTCTACTGTCTCATCAATGTTTCAGCTTTCTAGGGCAAGATAACAACCATGTTCTCCTCTCTCTACTGCTCCTGGAGACATCCAGCCATGTAATACCAATTAGAGCCATGACGGACCCTGGGGCATGACTGACATGTGGAATGAGATGGGGGGGTTGGAGGGTGCAGGGTAAAGTTAAGTTCTTCCACTACTCTTCTTTTTTGTTTTATACCCCTCCCCAATGAACTGATGGAGATATACAGTGAGGGAAAAAAGTATTTGATCCCCTGCTGATTTTGTACATTTGCCCACTGACAAAGAAATGATCAGTCTATCATTTTAATGGTAGGTTTATTTGAACAGTGAGAGACAGAATAACAACAACAAAATCCAGAAAAAAGCATGTCAAAAATGTTAAAAATTGATTTGCATTTTAATGAGGGAAATAAGTATTTAACCACTCTGCAAAACATGATTTTGTACTTGGTGGTTAAACCCTTGTTGGCAATCACAGAGGTCAGACGTTTCTTGTAGTTGGCCACCAGGTTTGCACACATCTCAGGAGGGATTTTGTCCCACTCCTCTTTGCAGATCTTCTCCAAGTCATTAAGGTTTCGAGGCTGACGTTTGGCAACTCGAACCTTCAGCTCCCTCCACAGATTTTCTATGGGATTAAGGTCTGGAGACTGACTAGGCCACTCCAGGACCTTAATGTGCTTCTTCTTGAGCCGCTCCTTTGTTGCCTTGGCCGTGTGATTTGGGTCATTGTCATGCTGGAATACCCATCCACGACCCATTTTCAATGCCCTGGCTGAGGGAAGGAGGTTCTCACCCAAGATTTGACGGTACATGGCCCCGTCCACAGTCCCTTTGATGCGGTGAAGTTGTCCTGTCCCCTTAGCAGAAAAACACCCCCAAAGCATAATGTTTCCACCTCCATGTTTGACGGTGGGGATGGTGTTCTTGGGGTCATAGGCAGCATTCCTCCTCCTCCAAACACGGCGAGTTGAGTTGATGCCAAAGAGCTCCATTTTGGTCTCATCTGACCACAACACTTTCACCCAGTTCTCCTCTGAATCATTCAGATGTTCATTGGCAAACTTCAGACGGGCATGTATATGTGCTTTCTTGAGCAGGGGGACCTTGCGGGCGCTGCAGGATTTCAGTCCTTCACGGCGTAGTGTGTTACCAATTGTTTTCTTGGTGACTATGGTCCCAGCTGCCTTGAGATCATTGACAAGATCCTCCCGTGTAGTTCTGGGCTGATTCCTCACCGTTCTCATGATCATTGCAACTCCACGAGGTGAGATCTTGCAAGGAGCCCCAGGCCGAGGGAGAGTTATTTTGTGTTTCTTCCACTTGCGAATAATCGCACCAACTGTTGTCACCTTCTCACCAAGCTGCTTGGCGATGGTCTTGTAGCCCATTCCAGGCTTGTGTAGGTCTACAATCTTGTCCCTGACATCCTTGGAGAGCTCTTTGGTCTTGGCCATGCTGGAGAGTTTGGAATCATATTGATTGATTGCTTCTGTGGACAGGTGTCTTTTATACAGGTAACAAGCTGAGATTAGGAGCACTCCCTTTAAGAGTGTGCTCCTAATCTCAGCTCGTTACATGTATAACAGACACCTGGGAGCCAGAAATCTTTCTGATTGAGAGGGGTCAAATACTTATTTCCCTCAATAAAATGCAAATCAATTTATAACATTTTTGACATGCGTTTTTCTGGATTTTTTTGTTGTTATTCTGTCTCTCACTGTTCAAATAAATCTACCATTAAAATTATAGACTGATCATTTCTTTGTCAGTGGACAAACGTATAAAATCAGCATGGAATCAAATCCTTTACTCCCTCACTGTAGGCTGAGTCCCAAATGGTACTCTATTCCCTATATAGTACACTATTTTTGACCAGAGCCCTACCATAGACGGTCAAAAGTAGTGCACTAAATAGGGAATAGGGTGCCATTTGGGAAGCATGCATAGATACAGTATAAGCATCTCTGTCTGAACAAGCTACTGTAGCCTACTAAAGGCCCCTCAAATGCTTTCCATCCATCCACTCCCGTCCTGGCTGTATTAACCGGCTAGCACTGTGGGGGTTATAGTACTGCACTATGAATATTCACCAGTCGTTTTTTATATGAGTCCGGCTGGATCTAATTGGGGCTGATGGACGCCATAAATCACATGACTGACAGTGAAACAACACTCTCTATAAAATAGTATCCTTTTTACTCCGCTCCTCTCCCTCCTCTCCAGGAAAGAATATCCTCTTACTACTCTAAATGAAAGGATTCCCCCCTAGACCCTCCACCCTCTTCCGCCTTCATCTCCTCCTCTCCCCTTCCCTCTAAATCCTTTCTTCCCTCCCCCGTCTCCTATCTCCCCCTTTATTCCTCTCTTCCCTACCTCACCCATCTGCTTTCAGATCTTCCATCTTCCCTCTCTTCCCTCTTCCCCTCTTTCTTCCCCCCCTCTCCTGATTCCCTCCTATCCCTCCTGCCTCCTTCCTCTACTATCCATCCTCTCCTCTCCCTAGTCCCCTCCTCTTCCCTCCCTACCTCCCTCCTCCCTCCTCTCCTCTTCCATCCTCTCCTCTCCTCCTCCTCCTCTCCTCATCCCTCCTCCTCTCATTTCCTCATCTTGTCTCTCCTCCTCTCCTCTCCCCCCTTTCCTCTCCGCTCATCTCCTCTCCTCTCCTCTCCTCTCGTTTCTCCTCTCCTCTCCTCTCCACTCCTCTCATTTCCTCCTCTTGTTTCTCCTCTCCTTTCCTCTCCTCCTAATCACAGGCTGACAGTGACAACACTTTCTATAAGAGCATTATCTCCTCAGGCCTTACAGATAGCTAAGTCCATAAAAGGATGTGCAAGCAGGGGATGTGCCATGATCTACTCTGTTACAGCATTCTGAAAGTATTCAGATCCCTTTACATTTTCCACATTTTGTTACGCTACAGCCTTATTCTAAAATGGATTAAATTACTTATTTTCCTCATCAATCTACACACAATACCCCATAATGACAAAGCAAAAACTGGTTTTTAGAAATTTTAGCAAATGTATTAAAAACAGAAATAACTTATTTAAATATCTGCAGCATTAAAGGTACTCAAGAACACAGTGGCCTCCATCATTCTTAAATGGAAGAAGTTTGGAACCACCCAGACTCTTCCTAGGGCTGGCCGCCTGGCCAAACTGAGCAATTGGTGGAGAAGGGCCTTGGTCAGGGAGGTGACCAAGAACCCGATGGTCACTCTGATAGAGCTCCGGAGTTCCTCTGTGGAGATGGGAGAATCATCCAGAAGGACAACCATCTCTGCAGCACTCCACCAATCAGGCCTTTACGGTAGAGTGGCCAAATGGATTCCACTCCTCAGTAAAAGGCACATGACAGCCCACTTGGAGTTTGCCAAAAGGCACCTAATTTATACATTAGCAAAATTTTCTAAAAACCTGTTTTTGCTTTGTCATTATGGGGTATTGTGTGTAGATTGATGAGGAAAACAAACAATTTAATACATTTTAGAATAAGGCTGTAATGTAACAGAATGTGGAAAAAGTCAAGGGGTCTGAATACTTTTTAAATGTGCTGTAAGTCATATTAACGGCGGATACTACAGTCGTCAGAGCAATGTCTTGATATACAGCTTTTAGATGTACAGTACCCTTACCTGGTAGGGGATGTGTCATGACATTGTCTTTCAATGGTTGATATAGCCTCCATTATAATCCATAATAATGAAAGCTACAACCATATCAGAGCAATGTCATGATATACAGCTTATAGGCTTTAGATGTAGACTGTAGAGTACCTGGTAGGGGAAGATTGGGACTCCGTTATTGCTTGACATTGATATGGAGGAGGCCAGGTGCTGCTGCTCCTCAACCCATCTATCAATCCTGGAGGAGGGCTTCAAGACCCTCTTAGGGTGTGTCTTGGGGGAGTTTTGGGTCCTGCTGGAGGCTGAGAGGTGGGGGTTTGGTGCTACTGTGTTGAAGGTGGTGGATCCAGATCCAGGGGAGGGCTTGGCAGGGGTGCTCTGGCTCCTGGAAAAGGCTGAGAGGTGGGGGCTAGACTGTGCTGTTTTGGTGGAGATGGATCCAGGAAGGGGCTTGGCGATAGGTGGAGTGGCCCACTTGGCACGCTCCTCCCTGGCTAGGATCAGGTGGATGGCCTCCTGCTTCAGCTGGATCAGGTGGGCACCACAGACGTCACAGCCACTCTGCTCCTCCTCCACAGCCCAGTTGCCTATGGTAGTGCTGTGGGCTTGGAGGTTGTCGTGGAGATAGGCTGACAAGGTTGAATCCTATAGAGTGAACGTAAAAGGGATATATAATATGGTTCTATGCATCAAGTCTAATTAAATCACAAAAATAACCCAACACAGTGAATTACAAAAGTGGAAAATGTTGATAATTGATCACCATTGAAGACTGACATTGAGGAAACTATGTATCAAAATGTGGCACGGTAACAAGTACCCTGATTTCCAGAATCAATCATTATAATGGCATCTGTCATAGAACAGAGATGGTGGCATGGCATACATTCATTTCTGTGTCCTTGTACTCCCTTAACTTCCGTTCCAAAACGTATCTCTCGCAAGCTGTTAACGTCAATGAACCACATTCTGAGTCCCAAACTACTGTACTATTGCAAAAAACAAAGTCAACCAGAAAAAGCAGATGTGCCCAAACAAACTCCAACCCAAAAGCTGAGACATCAGAGACCTAGCCTGGTCCCAGATCTGTTTGTGCTGTATAGACAACATCTGGTTGTTTGTTTGTCATAGCAAAAAGACAAACAGATCTGGAACCATGCAAAACAACGACCATAGGAGTTGGTAAACAGCGGAAACAGACCTCGGACCAGGCTGTCAGAGACCTGTTTCTCCCTCCTAAATATTTAAGGAAGTATTTTCTTTCTGATTCATAACAGGACAGATCTCATTATGGCCCTGGTCTGGAAGTCAATACACTACAAGAAGCCATTATCAGATTTCTACTGACTGTCTTTGTCTGAAAAATGAGGTATTCTCTCCACATATAAATGGCCTGTGGTTTATTTTAAAACATCCTGTTCTATTTCATGTCCCTCTCTGTAGGAGAGGTAAGCAAATGTTTTATGTTGCCTCTGCTGATGAGGTTATAGGGGTTTCAGTTGTTTTATTAAAATATTTATATCAGTTTGAATCAGTTCACTCTAGGGATATCCTCTATGAGTCTGAATGACTAGAACTGGTGTCTGCTACAAATTCAAAATCAGAAAAAAATGTCTAAGTATGTGACAATCCATTTTGATTAGGCTTTGTTAATAAACAGCTCAAATGTGTGGCAAATCCTAAAACCTATGGCAAATCTTTGGCAAATCCTCTAAGTCACATTTTCTGACCATTTAAATTCAAAACCTCTTAAATTGTTCCTATATGGCATTGGTTATAAAGTATATTGTATCACTACAATGTATGCTACTACTTACTACATAGAACACATTTCCAGAGAAAGTGATGCAGTGATCAGCCTACCTTGCATAAGACATATTGAGGAATGATGAGGCTCAGTGCCTGTCTCTTCAGTGCAGCCACAGTTGCGGTGCAATGCTCACAAATAACTTTTCCGTCAGATTTCCGAACACTCCAACTTCCCACCACGGTGTGTCCAACAGTGCCAAATCCACTGGCACTCACAGGACATCTGGAACCGGCGCAGGGTCCCGCCAGAGACCCCCTGGATAGGAAATCTGTCCTCTGACACAAAGCTCCATGAGGGTCGGTGTTGGATCCTTCGCCCTCTGGAGAGGGGCGGTCTGTTGATTTCCAGTCCTCGTGCAGTACTGTACCGCTCACAGTCTGAGTCTCAGAGTAGAATCTGGTTGATTTACATTGAGGAGCATCTGTTGTCTGTGAAATATACACAAATACCTCCTTAATAAACTGCAGACAAGAAAACAATCATGACTACACTCTTAGAAAATAGGTTTGAAAAAGGGTATGGGCTGTCCCCATATGATAACCCTTTTTGGTTCCAGGTAGAACCCTTTTGGGTTCCATGTAGAATCCTCTGTGGAAAGGGTTCTACATGGAACCTAAAAGGGTTCTTCAAAGGTTTATCCTATGGTGACAGTAGAATAACCCTTTTAGGGTCTAGATAGCACCTTTTTTTCTGAGTGTACCATGATATCATCATAACATAAATTCAACCTAATGTTTTCAAAGCATATTAGTCATCAAATAATAAGTAGATACTTAGGCTGTGGGTTGCACAGTTCTATCTAAACTACTTAAGATAAATACTGAATGTGAAAAAACATGTTTGTTCATATTAAATCAAGCGTTCCTTACCCAATACCTTCGGTTCCCTGCTGTGGGACATCTCTCCTTCTCTCTCCTAGTGACAGATGCCATAGCAATAGGTTGTTGACTATAAAGGAAAATGTAACAAAGCCAAAGACAAGGATAAAGGATATGCTGTCTACTTTAGTCAGTCATGTTTTTTTTTTGTACATGGGTAAAAAAAAAAATAAGTAAAGATATTAAGCAATTATGTTATTCTAACCAAGTCCTCGAACTTGCGCGACTTGTCATGTTGAGCTAGTGGTGGCGATGTGAATGAAGGCGAGCGTGCGGGCACACTACTGATTGCGTTTCTTTGTGCATTCCCCTCGTTGTCCACAGGGAGGCAGTGAAGTGCAAACTATAAACACAGCTAGAACAATGTGCCAGATATTTCACCAGATGTATAAATGTGAAGCATCCGGTTGGCGTTTCCACTCCCTACCAAATATGGTGATGAGAGGAAGCCCAGTGGCCAGCAGTGGGAGAAGATTTAGCGAGATGGACTTTGGCCAACATTCTGCTAATTTTCTTAACGATGAAAATTTGATCTCGATACAGTTTTCTGTTTCCAAAACTAGATTCTGTAACAAAGAGAGTGGACTGCGTTTTGTCCAAGTTTTTTTTAAATTGCGTTGTTTAGTGGGGCCTCTGTAGCTCAATTGGTAGAGCATGGCGCTTGTAACGCCAGTGTAGTGGGTTCGATCCCCGGGACCACCCATACGTAAAAATGTATGCACACATGACTGTAAGTCGCTTTGGATAAAAGCGTCTGCTAAATGGCATATTATTTAGAAGGAGTGCAAGGTAAAATTGAGTTATTGCACACGCGACCTTCACAAAGTAGGCGTTCCTTAACGGAAATATGCAAATAATTGCTAGAACACGCCAATAGTATCTCACTAGCTCGTGCTTGGCTCTGCCCACCTCCTTGCTTGTTCTGCCCACTATGATTAATTTGCTCCCATTGGAAACAACAGGCTCTGGTCTATCTTGGGGTAGTTATAAAATTATCTTTGCTATAGACGTGGCACTTAGGCTTGTTATTTATTTGTATCCTGGTCTGTATGTGAAATAAACCGATTTCATGTCCATTCGGCTGTTTCTTAACGGTTTGTGGATATGATTGTGCCTAACATAATTTTACATTTTAGTCATTTAGCAGACGCTCTTATCCAGAGCGACTTACAGTTAGTGAGTGAATACATTTTTTTTTTTTTTTTTCATACTGGCCCCCCGTGGGAATCTAACCCACAACCCTGGCATTGCAAATGCCATGCTCTACCAACTGAGCTACATCCCTGCCGGCCATTCCCTCCCCTACCCTGGACGACGCTGGGCCAATTTTGCGCCGCCCCATGGGTCTCCCGGTCGCGGCCGGCTACGACAGAGCCTGGATTCGAACCTCTAGTGGCACAGCTTAGACCACTGCGCCACTCGGGAGACCTGCTTGTTTAGATATTAGCGGACATGTTTTCAGACTAGAAGAGAAGTTATGTGAGTGTGTCTAGAGGACATTCCATGAACCAGGGCTGCATTCAGTACATAAAAACCTGTGGAGGCTGGTGGTAGGAGCTATAGGAGGACGGGCTCATTGTAATGGCTGGAATGGAATTCATTTTACATTTACATTTTAAATTGAATAAATGGAACGGAGTCAAACATGTGGTTTCCATATGTTTGATGTGTTTGATACTCCATACCAGCCATTACAATGTGCCCGTCCTCCTATAGCTCCACCCACCATGCAAACTCCTCTGATAAAAACATAGTAGGACTTTCCCAGAAAGGATGCTATACTGAATGACCAGCTGAAACACAGGGAGGGGTTGGGTTGTAGCTTCAAAACGCACCTCTGCCCTTTAAAGAGTAACTTTAATGACACCAGATGTTTTAGACTTAGTTATAGTGAAAGATGTCAATTCTGGTCATCATTTTTGACAGTTCATTGCAAAAGTTATATATTTTGGTTGTTTACTAGTAAATCTAGCTCTTTTGCCCCTAGCAGGTCAACTCTATCATTGAAATCATGATGTGGAGGTGTTCAGTATGAAATACACTCCCTTCTAGATGTGCTGGGTGGTAACACCCAATGATTTCTATATAAACTAGATTACTAATAGGGGCGCTGTGTTGGCACTCCCTTACCTTTGTACGAAATATTTTGGAAGCTATAGAAATAAATGAATTAATGTCTACATTCACTTTTTACACATTTATTCTATTACAGACACCTTCAAATGTTGTAGGGACGCAGAGGGCTCCATATAGCGTTGTATAGCTCCGCATCTACATGATTGGTTGGCGGGAGGTCCTTTATATACACAAACTCATTTCCTTGACAACTTCCATCACAACAGCTCTGCGATGCTCCGTGAAGCGCAAGAAGTATAAATGCCCTAACTCTCCAGAGGCCGTATCACCGTAAATGCTGCACGGCCAATGTACAGTCGTGGTCAAAAGTTTAGAGAATGACACAAATACTAATTTCACAAAGTCTGCTGCCTCAATTTTGATGATGGCAATTTGCATATACTCCAGAATGTCATGAAGAGTGATCAGATGAATTGCAATTAATTGCAAAGTCCCTCTTTGCCATGAAAATGAACTTAATTCCAAAAAAACATTTCCACTGCATTTCAGCCCTGCCACAAAAGGACCAGCTGCCATCATGTCAGTGATTCTCTCGTTAACACAGGTGAGAGTGTTGACGAGGACAAGGCTGGAGATCACTCTGTCATGCTAATTGAGTTAGAATAACAGACTGGAAGCTTTAAAAGTAGGGTGGTGCTTGAAATCATTGTTCTTCCTCTGTTAACCATGGTTACCTGCAAGGAAACACGTGCCGTCATCATTGCTTTGCACAAAAAGGGCTTCACAGGCAAGGATATTGCTGCTAGTAAGATTGCACCTAAATCAACAATTTCTCGGAGCATCAAGAACTTCAAGGAGAGAGGTTAAATTGTTGTGAAGAAGGCATCAGGGCCCCCAAGAAAGTCCAGCAAGCGCCAGGACTGTCTCCTAAAGTTGATTCAGCTGCGGGATCAGGGCACCACCAGTGCAGAGCTTGCTCAGGAATGGCAGCAGGCAGGTGTGAGTTCATCTGCACGCACAGTGAGGCGAATACATTTGGAGGATGGCCTGGTGTCAAGAAGGGCAGCAAAGAAGCCACTCCTCTCCAGTAAAAACATCAGGGACAGACTGATATTCTGCAAAAGGTACAGAGATTGGACTGCTAAGGACTGGGGTAAAGTCATTTTCTCTGATGAATCCCCTTTCCGATTGTTTGGGGCATCCGGAAAACACCTTGTCCGGAGAAGACAAGGTGACCGCTATCATCAGTCCTGTGTCATGCCAACAGTAAAGCATCCTGAGACCATTCATATGTGGGATTGCTTCTCAGCCAAGGGAATGGGCTCACTCACAATTTTGCCTAAGAACACAGCCATGAATAAAGAATGGTACCAACACATCCTCCGAGAGCAACTTCTCCCAACCATCCAAGAACAGTTTGGTGACGACCAATGACTTTTCCAGCATGATGGAGCACCTTGCCATAAGGCAAAAATGATAACTAAGTGGCTCTGGGAACAAAACATCGACATTTTGGGTCCATGGCCAGGAAACTCCCCAGACCTTAATCCCATTGAGAACTTGTGGTCGATCCTCAAGAGGCGGGTGGACAAACAAAAACCCACAAATTCTGACAAACTCCAAGCATTGATTATGCAAGAATGGGCTGCCATCAGTCAGGATGTGGCCCAGAAGTTAATTGACAGCATGCCAGGGCGGATTGCAGAGGTCTTGAAAAAGAAGGGTCAACACTGCAAATATTGACTCTTTGCATAAACTTAATGTAATAATCAATAAAAGCCTTTGACACTTATAAAATGCTTGTAATTATACTTCAGTATACCATAGTAACATCTGACAAAAATATCTCATAACACTGAAGCAGCGAACTTTGTGAAGACCAATACTTGTGTCATTCTCAAAACTTTTGACCACGACTGTAGACAGCAGATTGACCATGCAGCGCCTTTAAGCAAGCAGTGCGACGTCCTTTAAACCCACACACTTCTAATTCTGAAAAGTGAAACCATACCTGTGAGAGGGGTTGCCCTGGTAGTCCTTGTAGGTTTTTATACAGTACCCAAAACCCATCTGAGTTAATTTGACTATTGTAAAAATCGCTAATGCGTTGAATTAAATTAAGCCCATAATCTTAATTTTCAAGGTGATTATCACTTTTCTTCCCAACACAATGCCGCAATAAATGTGACATTACGAATAATTTATTTTGCAGCCTGTAGGGGATTCGAATCTACACCGCAAGTGGCAATACATGTCAGGATTTCGGCGCCTTATCACTGTGAGCTAACTCACAGTTCAGAGCTGTATTTCTTAGTGATGCACATATATATATTATTAGAGCGTGGCAGTGGACTTCTGGTAAGTGTGCTTTAGTGAGAAAATGTTGGGATCAGGTACAACTTTGTTTACACAACACCAAAATGAATATTATGAGAAATTCCCCCACCTACAACTTCTCACCTGAATGCATTTTTTGAAGATTTGAAGGGATTGGGCAACGGCTGAAATTGGGGTTGAGAGTTAACCTAAGTCATCGCTTCAAGGCACACACCGGTACATCCACCGAACTTAGCAAACGTACCTCAAAGTCTGTTCAAGAATGTTCAAGAATGTACAAGAACGTTTTGGGAAAACGTGTCATTCAGTACAAGCCGTTCCGCAACATAGTAAACGTTCAAGCGAACTGAACGCACCCCATGCTGCCCCAAGGTCATGTTGTGGGTTTTATGGTTGGAGTGTCTGGGAAGCAGTTGGAGTGATTCTCTGTGATCTTTTAAGGAGGAGTCTGGGAGAATCTCAATTGCATACTCCTAACATCCTCTCTCCTCGCCTCCTTCTCAAAACCCATTGGATGAGAAAGCGAGAGGTCGGCGAGAAGAACATCTATTCTTAGAACGGTGGGGAAACATATTTTACTGTAGGTCTACTGTGTTCTTGTGGATATGTTACTTCAATAACCTGACATTCAGTATCAGTGGAGGCTGGTGGGAGTAGCTATAGGAGGACAGGGTCATTTTAATGGCTGGAATGGAATAAATGGAACGGCATCAAACAACAAACATATGTAATCCACGTTTGACTCCTTTCCATTAAATCCTGTCCAGCCATTACAACGAGCCCGTCCTCCTATAGCACCTCCCACCAGCCTCCACTGTTCAGTATAGGTCTGGAAATGGACAGATAATTGAATGTGTGTGTCTCCTTGAGGTCATGTTTAATGTATTGATTTATTTTCATGGCTAAAAAGATGTAGCCTGCAGTGCTTGGTATCTCCAAAATGCGCATTGGCAGCTTGGATATTGTTAAGTCCTTTAAGCTGCTCTATCAGTTATTACGGTAACCCACGCCCAAGTCCTTCCCCAACACTTGAATACCGGAGGGGTCTGGTACCACCATTTGCGCCGATAAACCCTTCTGCCATTGAAAAGTGCTAGTAACGCTACTGCCATTTGGCGCAGTTAAAAATAGCTAGTAGCTACATCAATTTGCATAGCGTGGCGTCCTTACAGAATTTCCCGTATTTGTCATTTTAAACCGTGTTTCAGTTTAGTATTTTTATACAGATATAAAAATGAGTTCAATTAACGTAAAAAAACTGAAAGTGAACGAGTTGAAGGACGAGCTGAAAAAGCGTCAATTGTCGGACAAGGGACTGAAGGCCGAGTTGATGGACCGGCTGCAGGCCGCGCTTGACGAAGAGGCCCTGGCTGGAGACGATCCCATTGGGCTGGAGGCCGCGAAGGGAGACAGCCCTGAGGCCGCTGATGATCAAGAGGACATGGGGGAAGACGAAGAAGACGAGGATCCGGTCGAAGAAAGCATGGAGGCCAACGAGGAGGAGAATGGAAACGGAGAGGGAGACGCCGCCGTCGAATGCGAGGAGAACGCGACTCAGGAGGACGAAGAAATGGGTGAGGGGGAAGATGAAGAAATGGATCCAATGCTGAAGGAAGGTGTGGATGACATGGAGAAAATAACATTAGACGCAGAGGATGGCGAGCCTGCAGACCAGCCAGTAGAGGGTGAGTCGCTGGTTCCATTTGTAAATGCCTGGACTGGGTGTCACATGTTTTTGCTATACGGGGTGTTTTCGCGAAGCCGGTTTGATGTATATTGGCTAGTGTAGCTAGCAAATTGGGGTAATATTGTTTAACTTGGTCTTAACGTACTGCACGGAGACTACCATTGGGCTCACGCTTGAAGTAATTTTAGATGAATGGGTGGTTAGCATAGCTAACAAAGTTAGCATTCTTTTGTGTAGTTGCTAACTAGAATAGCTAGCTCGCGACTAGCAGACGGTGGACAAGATTCGGCAGTTGCTCGTTTAGGTAGGCTCGTGGTTCTAAATGGTTAACTATATGACTCAGAGTATCCAATATTATTCTACAAACGGGTTCTCATAAACGTAGCTAAAGGGAAGTATTTGATAACCGTAGTTAACTAGTTATCTGGTTAGATAACAATAGCTGGTTAATATATTTTGAATGAACGAGCAAGAATTGGCTAGCTAGCTTTTAAGCTAGCCGCGAATGGTATTGTGGGGGAAGGGGGTCAATTTAAAATAGTCTGCAGTTCAGGTTTTCTTGTCTGACTTGTCGCAGTATGCTATTGTATTGACCGCAAAATCTGTGACGAGTGGACAACGGAATATTTCCCTGATCTTTTTTAATAGTAACTCTAACCTTAGCTGGGATATTGCACCCATTTTACTCGTAACGTTACATCTCCTAACGTGTGATCTCCAATTGTTGGCCAGCTACAATGTAACCAACCCTACTCTGGTCAAAGCAGCCTTAGTGTTCTACTGTCTTCCATCACATTCAATGAAAGTATTGAGGTCCTAATGGACAAGTAGTTAGTCGTCTGTGTGGGCCAACCCTACCACAGCCACAGTGCGACCTATCCTTTCAATAAAGGAGCACCTCATTATATTTTTCTTTTATTTCCAAAGGGGATGCGGACAAAGACACGAATGCTGATCAGAAGAATAAGAAGGGTGTTAAGAGACGCCGGGAGGAACATGGAAGGGGCTACTTTGAATTTATTGAAGAGAACAAATACAGCTGGTAAGGATGGGAGACAAAATGGCCTTCGGTATGTCTGAAGCGCCATCACAGCTATGTGAACTGTATTGGCTTTAAGCGCCAATGCATTAACTAGCGACAAAACCCTCACTTAACTTACTTTTGTCAACATTACTTTAGTTTCATACATGTTTGAATTGAGGGTCATCCCTGACTTTTAAATTGACCTTACCATTTAACCCATGCAGTGACCACATGCACCCCTAAATGGACTGCATAATGTAGCAAGAGAAATTAACAGTAATTTTCTATTGTTCCCCATTCATTCTCTTTGTGCAGGAAGGTTTACTGTGTACACTGACAAGGTGACGCAACGCTGATAAAAAAATATATAAAAAACACATGAGAGTAGCAGGTGTGGGGGGGAATCGCGTAAGGGCACTAGAATGTAGCACTTTTTTCTGGACGCTCGAGTTGGAGATTGGTACTATCCACGGACCGCTCATTGTTCCTGTTCGCACTGTATTTGTCTTTTCTGAATGTGTCTCTCTCTCCACTTTGTCATTTTATTCAGTGTGGTTGATGTTGTTGTTTTTTACAGGAATGCTTTCTCGATGTACAGTCACACTGTGCATCATGGGCTGGTTTCCAGGGCACTTAAACCTACTGCTGAACCTTAAAAGTACTTCAAATGGAGATTCCATTGAGCTTTTTAGTCCAGGACTAGGCTTGATCTGTGTCTTGAAAACCACCCCCATGTTTATCTGGAACCCTATTTTGTTTTTTTAATTGACCCAGTGGACTGTTATCTTGTCATCAGAATGTCACACTAGCCCAGGTTTCTCCAACCCTGTTCCTGGAGAGCTACCCTCCAGTAGGTGTTCTCTCCAACCCTGTTCCTGGAGAGCAACCCTCCTGTAGGTGTTCTCTCCAACCCTGTTCCTGGAGAGCTACCCTCCTGTAGGTGTTCTCTCCAACCCTGTTCCTGGAGAGCTACCCTCATGTAGGTTTTCATTTTAACCCCAGTTGTAACTAACCCGATTCAGCTTATCAACCAGATAATTATTCAAATCAGGTGCGCTAGATTAGGGTTGGAATGAAAACCTACTGGACGGTATCTCTCCAGGAACAGGGTTGGAGAGCCCTGCTCTGGCCTGTGTAAACTAAGAAACCATTGACTGTGCAGCAGAGGCCTTAGTAGCTGTTGGCTAAACCAATCATGGAATCTCCATCACACACCACCCTGGATGACCCCTGGCAAGACTATATGCTCCTTGGTCTGAGTGTGGTCTGACCAATGTGTAGATAAGCCAAAGATGGTACAATTAGTGTTTCCCTGACTACACATGGGCAGGTCTAGTATGAAGAAGAAGAAGAAAAAAATTGATAAGAGCGTCTGCTAATTGACTGAAATATAAATGAAGTGGCCATTTGTATAATCTAAGCATAGTGCATTTGAGGACAGAGTAAAATTACCAACCAGTGTTGCTACAAATAATGTGAATATCACCCCCCCCCCCCCCCCCCCCCCCCCCCCCCACCCACTACTATCTCTTGTTCTAATTGGTGCAAAGACTCACATTTTCTATCAACGCTGCATTATCAAATCAAATCCAATTTTATTGGCCACATGCGCCGAATACTACAGGTGCAGACATTACAGTGAAATGCATACTTACAGCCCTTAACCAACAGTGCATTTATTTTTAATAAAAAATTAAAATAAAACAACAACAAAAAAGTGTTGAGAAAAAAAGAGCAGAAGTAAAATAAAATAACAGTAGGGATGCTATATATACAGGGGGGTACCGGTGCAGAGTCAATGTGCGGGGGCACCGGCTAGTTGAGGTATTATTATGGTGTTTCTCTTCCTGTGCCTGAGGCAGTGTTTAGTCCTGTAGAAAGACATTTATCCTCATGTTGTAATCCTCGCCAGTGTAAATATTTTTAAGCTAGTTTCATAAACACAACTCTTCCCCCTGGGCAACAGCTTGATTCTGATTCTGAATGCCTTCAAGTTGGTAAGTCGGTGTAGCACAACATTCAGCTTGTTATCTCAACAGTCCCTAGAGTATTAGAATATCTCAACACACAGTTGAAGCCCCTCTAGGCTATGTGGAAATAGCTTGTATGCCTCTGTCTGTTCCACGACCATGAGGCTGCAGCTTCAGTGGGATTTGACCTTTAGTGAGAGCAGCTCCACACACAGTTAAATACATCCAGCAGCCCTTTATACTTCATGACCCTCCCAAGAATCTCCAAAGCCATAAACACAGTTTCTGCCCACAACAAGGTCTATTGGCTGTTAAGGCTTTTATAATAAGAAATATAGCCCCTAGGACTAGTTTAAAAAATAATTATCCATTGCTTTGAGGCACCAGTGGACCACTGCATGTATGCATTTTGTCTTGTCGTGATTTCTTAAAACCACCAGACTCCAGTAGCTTAAATGTTGGGGTTCTATTTCCGCCCATAGTCTTCTTGCCTCTTTCCACTGTTGCCCTCTTCTTCAGAGGGGTCATCCCAACCGGATGGCCACCATGGTAGGGCATTCTGGTTCCGTGTGAATGGTTCTAATTCTCTGACATTGTTACTGACAGGCTGTGTTCTCTTTCAGGTCTAGTCTCAAGTCTCCACTGCCACCCCTGGAAGAGGAAGATGAAGAGTTCGATGATACAACAGTCTGCCTGGACAACTGTGAGTCATGTTTGGTGTATAGATGGGCGGACAGTGCTGGGTTTATTTAATCACTCTACAAACACCTGCTCAGAAGTGATAGCTCCACTTCGCTGTCTGATGTTTACCGTATTACCAACACGCGTTCAATATTCTCAGATCTCGGCAAGTGCATAGGAATACGGCTTAAAGGCCGATGTGTGATAGGACACACTAAATGCTATGTCAGGGGACTGAGAAGAGATCCGAAGAATTGATGCCTTTGTTTCTTTGTCTCAGATAACTGTGACCTGCACTTCAAGGTGTCCCGGGACCGTTACAGCGCCTCCTCTCTCACCATGGAGAGCTTTGCCTACCTTTGGTCCGGGGGCAGGGCCTCGTACGGCCTGACCCAGGGCAAGGCCTGTTACGAGATGAAGGTAAGGAGAAACTCTGCTTCTCTTGTCTAGCCCAGTTGTCATTTCATTAGTAATTGTGAATTCGTAACATTCTGACCTCAGAAACCATTATCATTTGTCTCCATTTTATAATATAAATGCACCATTCAATTTTATCACCTGGTTGTGCTATCAAATGTCTACTTAAATAATTAGATTTGCAGGCCATCATACTATCTGCTGCTAACATTACCAATGTAATATTGTGGTTCTAGTTAACTGAGAAGATTCCAGTGAAGCACATCTTCAGTAAGAACATGGAGGTCCATGAGGTCCAGGTTGGATGGTCCCTGGCTACTGGCAGTCTGCTCCTCGGTCAGTATTATGTTGTTTTTCAAAAAGATAATGGTTCTTATGTGGTGTTGGCGCTCTCTAAAGGCTGTTAGGAAGCATGACATGGAACTGGAAGTGATATAGCCTGCGTCAGTTGAAGTTTGCAAGTCGACTATGGAATGACTGCAGAAACACTGAAATCCAGAAATTATTTATATACATTTTTTTTATGACAATTCTAATTCTAGAGTTTTAGTTCCCTTAACCAGTCAGCTCTGTATCATGTCTGATGTGAGTTGTATTGTCATTGCAGGTGAGGAGGAGCATTCTTATGCCTACTCTGGCAAAGGCAAGAAGACTACCAACTGCGTGACTGAAGATTTTGGAGAGACTTACGATGAGAATGACGTAATCTGCTGCCTCATCGTAAGTAACCTGTCTTAATTTATCCTTAATAGTTGCGATAATGTAATATTCTCAAAATGCGCAGGCCGATTTTAAAATAATATTCAGACTTTCTGTGATGTCAATGAGGCAAACTCACACAAACATTTTTTTTTACATTTATATAAAAACATGTTTGTCAAATGATTTGTCTGCTATGTCCTCTGTTCATGGAGTAAAAAATGTCCACCAGAACCCTTCAAAACCAACCAGTGACTTTGTTTTGTATTGGGGATTATACGTGTGGTGTGACAACTTCCTTGTTGATATATATATGTGTGTGTGTGTGTGTGTATATATATATAGTCCCCCATTATATATTATAGTCCCCCATTATATATATATATTTAGATATAGTACCAGTCAAAAGTTTGGACACCTACTCATTCATGGGTTTTTATTTTATTTTTACTATTTTCTACATTGTAGAAAAATAGTGAAGACATCAAAACTATTAAATAACACATATGGAATCATGTAGTAACCAATAAAGTGTTAAACAAATCAAAATATATTTGACATTCTTCAAATAGCCACCTTAAACTTGACAGCTTTGCGCACTCTTGGCATTCTCTCAACCAGCTTCACCTGGAATGCTTTTCCAACTGTCTTGAAGGAGTTCCCACATATGCTGTGCACTTGTTGGCTGCTTTTCCTTCACTATGCCGTCTGACTCATCCCAAACCATCTCAATTGGGTTGAGGTCGGGGGATTGTGGAGGCCAGGTCATCTGATGCAGCATTCCATCACTCTCCTTCTTGGTAATATAGCCCTTACACAGTCTGGAGGTGTGTTGGGTCATTGTCCTGTTGAAAAAGAAATTATAGTCCCACTAAACCAAACCAGAGGGGATTGCGTATTGCTGCAGAATGCTGTGGTAGCCATGCTGGTTAAGTGTGCCTTGAATTCTAATTAAATCACAGTGTCACCAGCAAAGTACACCCACACCATAACACCACCTCCTCCATGCTTTACGGTGGGAACTACACATATGGAGATCATCCGTTCACCCACACCGTGTCTCATAAAGACACGGCGGTTTGAACCAAACATCTCCAATTTGGACTCCAGACCAAAGGACAAATTTCCACCGGTCTAATGTCCATTGCGCATGTTTCTTGGCCCAAGCAGGTCTCCTCTTAGTGGTTTCGTTGCAGCAATTCGACCATGAAGGCCTGATTCACACAGTCTCCTCTGAACAGTTGATGTTGAGGTCTGTTATTTGAACACTGTGAAGCATTTATTTGGGCTGCAATCTGAGATGCAGTTAACTCTAATGAACTTATCCTCTGCAGCAGAGGTAACTCTGGGTCTTTCTTTCCTGTGGTGGTCCTCATGAGAGCCAGTTTCATCATAGCGCTTGATGGTTTTTGCAACTGCACTTGAAGAAACTTTCAAAGTTCTTGAAATGTTCTGTATTGACTGACCTTCATGTCTTAAAGTAATGACGGACTGTAGTTTCTCTTTGCTTATTTGAGCTGTTCTTGCCATAATATGGACTTAGCCCTATTTGATAAAATAACATCTTCTGTATACCCCCCTACCTTGTCACAACACAACTGATTGCCTCAAACGCATTAAGAAGGAAATAAATTCCACAAATGAACTTTTAACAAGGCACACCTGTTAATTGAAATGCATTCCAGGTGACTACCTCATGAAGCTGGTTGAGAGAATGCCAAGAGTGTGCAAAGCTGTCAGCAAGGCAAAGGGTGGCTATTTGAAGAATCTCAAATATATTTTGATTTGTTTAACACTTTTTTTTTGGTTACTACATGATTCCATGTGTTATTTCATAGTTTTGATGTCTTCACTATTATTCTACAATGTAGAAAATAGTTTTTTTTTTTTTTTTATAATAAAGAAAAACCCTTGAATGAGTAGGTGTCCAAACTTTTGACTGGTACTATATATCTATCTCTCAATTAATTATTTTCTATTGCAGGACTTTGAGGGCGAGGAGGTGGAGATTTCCTTTTCTAAAAACGGTAAGGAGCCAGTTGTGGCCTTCCAGGCCAGTAAGGAGTCCCTGGCAGGGAGAGCTGTCTTCCCCCACGTCATCTGCCATAACTGTTCTGTGGAGTTCAACTTTGGCCAGATGGAAACGCCCTACTTCCCCAAGCCAGAGGGCTACACCTTCCTGCAGCAGGTCGCCATGGACGACCGTGTCCGCGGACCCAAGGGACCCAACACCAAGAAGGACTGCGAGGTAACTATGGGAACCCATAACATCACTAGCAGTGATTTGTTTGACACAAAGGCCTCCCTAGCAATGGGCTCTATCCTTCGGTTCAACCAGTATTTCATAATAAACGGCTTGTAAAATGTGTTTCAGATAAATGTATCACTTTGTTTATTGTATGTGCATAACCCCTTCCCCCATTGTTACTGATCAGTTGTGAATATGTGTGTTTTAGGTGATTGCTATGGTAGGCCTGCCCGGCTCAGGAAAGACCACCTGGGTGAACAAGCACATCCAGGAGAACCCTGGGAAATATTACATCCTGGGCAGCGACACCATCGTGGAGAAGATGATGGTCAGTGTTATACTGAGTCATGGTTTTTGTATCCACCAGTATTTTAGAATGTATTCTCTCTGCACTCTTCTTAGAATGAGGTTATAGTTGTCTGTCAATTTAGTTTGTGAAATTTAACTTCCAGTCCTATCCAATGTTCCCTCAAACATTTAGGCACTGAGCAAATTTCAGGTCTGAGCGCAAACTTGAATGTTGTGAAAATTCTGTACAACGTCCAGCGCACGTTTACTGTGAACACTGAGCCGCTTTAAGTTAGTTTCAGACAGTGGTCAAGTAGGCTACTGTAGCTATTTGCTCATAATGTAGACCAGAGTGGCCAACCATAAAAAACAATGGAGAAAATGCATCCCATAACATTTTAACATGGAAATAGCTGTTCAGTCATTCAGCCTACAGTAGCCGACAATGTGGGGTGTTCAATATAGACCTACATTCCATGACTTTTGAAAAAAACATGCAGGGCTTGACATTAACCTGTTTATCCACTTGTCCTTCAGACAAAGAGGTGACTGAAAATGTTGTTTGATACGAGAAACCACTTTACAAAATAAAATGCATTATTAATCCCATACCATTATTACAGAGAATCAGACAAATTATGCTACCCTCTGCCTATTGGCTACATAGCTTATTCAAACCCGTCTCAAAATACAACACTGCCCCATTAAGACAAAGAAAAAAGCTCATTACCTGACTCGCTTTTCAAAGATGTGTACACATTTTGTGCTCTTGTAGGAAGCAATCACTCCACCATTGCTGACTACAAATGATCTATAACTGGGCTAATAACTAACTAGCAAAGGATATGAACAAATGATCTGTAACTGGGCTAATAACTAACTAGCAAAGGATATGAACAAATGATCTGTAACTGGGCTAATAACTAACTAGCAAAGGATATGAACAAATGATCTGTAACTGGGCTAATAACTAACTAGCAAAGGATATGAACAAAATGTGCAACGGTTTGTGTAGAGCACGTTTGAGTCGTGCGTGTCAATAGAATCCTGCTCCGATGCGTTCTGCATACAACAAAATCTCTTGCATAGTTAGTTTTGCATACCAAGTCTTGCATAGTTTATTTTGTTTCGGTATGTTGCATTGAAAGTGACTATTGCGTTGACTCGATCACAATTCCCACGGTAAAGGTGAATGTTGATAGTGTTAACAAAGGCTGATATTTCTTCTGCGTGGCAGTCCCAGGGGAGCTGCCATCAGCTTAGAGGGAACATTGGTCCTATCCTAATCGTTGTGTAAGCAGTCCCTGGTCATCATTTGGCACTGTAGGCCTATATCCTGTCCTACATCTGTGGTATCTTGTGGCACAGCCATTCATTTTTGTCTATGTAGATTGGCAGCTTGAAGCGTCAGGCGAAGGACACAACTAAGCTCACGGCCATTTCCCAGCGTGCACCTCTCTTCCTGGGCAAGTTCATTGAGATCGCTGCTCGCAAGAAGAGGAACTATATCCTGGACCATGTAAGACTTCATATTCTATTCAATCACAGCCAATGATTTCTTACACGTTAAACACTGACCTTTAGTCAGTCTTATAGTGAATAGAGTATTAGTTCTTTGAATGCACATGGAACATACAGTATAATGTAGGTAAATACAGGTAGAATAGTCTCATACAAATGAGTACGTCATGATATAGGGTAGGAAGGCTAGTACTAGATGTAGACAAGATGTAGGCTAGTACAAGACGTAGGCTAGCACAGGTCTATATAAAGTGCCAACAAAGCAGCCCAAATCCTGGTTATTTATAATCACACAATCAGTCAACATTATTATAAGTAATTCCCCCATCCTTCCTCACCTCTCCCCAGACCAACCTGTCTGCCCCGGGCCAGAAGAGGAAGATGTGTCTGTTTGCTGGGTACCAGCGGAAGGCTGTGGTGGTCTGCCCCTCAGACGACGACTACAAGGAGAGGGCCCAGAAGAAGGCAGAGAGCGACGGCAAAGACGTGCCCGAGCACGCTCTCCTCAAAATGAAAGGTAACGACGTGAGCTACTATACCAATAAAGATGTTAAAAGTAGAATCTTCTCCTTTGCTAAACAGCTAGCAACTTCACATCCTTATCACTAATCCAGAAGCCTACAGAAAGTTGATGTAGTAATACGGTAAGGACACACCACTTTTTTTTTTTTTTTTTTAAGCTCCCAAAAAACTGTAGTTTTGTTTTCATGTAAGCATGGCTAGCCCCTCTAAGCTTTGCCCACTCGTGGCTGTCTGTGTCGCACGTGGCCATATCAGGGGGGCAGAGTGACCCTCTCTCCTAAACTCTGGTTCAGGGGCTCTACCCCTGCCTCTGGACCTGGTGGGAGGAACACAGCTGTATAAATGATCCTCCATCACTACAAATCTAGTTTTGCTATGGTTGACATCATAAGCTATTATTCATACGCTAGTCTTTCATTGGGGCTGTTATTTTTGACCATCGTTTTAATAATCCTTGGCTCTCTTCCCATGTAGGATTCTTCACCCTGCCAGAGGAGGGCGAGAGCTTCGCTGAGGTGAGCTACGCTGAGCTGCAGAAGGAGGAATCCTCCAAGCTGGTGGAGCAGTACAAGGAGGAGAGCAAGGCGGCCCTGCCGGCTGAGAAGAAGCCCAACCAGGGGGCCTTGACCCCCAATAGAGGAGGTGTTGTCCGGGGCGGAGGCAGAGGCAAGAACCAGTTCAACCGCGGAGGAGGACCCGGCCAGAGAGGAGGTGTACGAGGAGGCTTCCAGCACAGGGGCAACTTCAGAGGAGGTGGGTTACGATTGTTGGCCATATTGGTCAGATTATTTATTTTATTTTTTGTCATTTAGCAGACGCTCTTATCCAGAGCGACTTACAGGAGCAATTTTGGGTTAAGTGCCTTGCTCAAATGCACATCGACAGATTTTTCACCTAGTCGGCTCTGGGATTAGAACCAGCGACCTTTCGATTACTGGCACAACGCTCTTAACCACTAAACTACCTGCCGCCCTAGATTAGGGATTTGCATGGCAGGTTTTAACCCTGTTTTAGCCTCGCAACAAATTGCTAAAACGTTCCTTGTTTAGTCTGCACTGATCTGATGGAACTGGACAGGAAGTCCAATCAAACAAAATGTTTTGCAGTCAAAGGCCTCTGCCCTTTCACTTTAATTTCTACTGTAGTAATTGAAAAGTAGAGATGAGCAGAGGATTAGGAAGCCATTTTACATCATTAAAGATGCATCGGCAGTCTAATGTATGTGTCCAACATGTCTGCCTCACCCAGCTCCAGGCCCACGTGGTGGGTTCACTCGCCCCCCTCGAGGCTTCATGCCCCCTCCAGCCTTCAGAGGTGGATTTGCCAACCGGGGCAACTTCAACAGGGGCGGTGGCCTCATGGCCCCCCAGCGAGGGTCCCCAAGAGGAGGACCAATTAGGGGCAACATGGGCTACAGGGGTGGAGCCATGAACAGAGGCGGTCCACCAATGAACAGAGGCGGCAACATGATCCGGGGAGGTGGGGCTAACATGAGCCGGGGAGGTGGGGCTAACATGAGCCGGGGAGGTGGAGCTAACATGAGCCGGGGAGGAGGGGCTAACATGAGCCGGGGAGGAGGGGCTAACATGAGCCGGGGAGGCGGAGCTAACATGAGCCGAGGAGGTGGTGGAAACAGGGTCAACTTTAACCAGGTGGGTTGGGTCGAAGCAATGGAGAAATACAAGTTGATCCTGCTTTATTTGGATATTCTTCTATAGAGGGTGTGTAGATGCTCAAACGATCAACTGCAACTCGTTGATATTAGCAATTTGCAAGGATTAGGGTTGGTGGATAGTTGAACATTTATAAACCATCTTTAGGAGACTATCCAAATAGTGTTACAAAAAGTTAGTGTTACAATAGCGTATTTAATAGGGAGATGTTAATAAGTGTTGTCCCTCTCCCCAGGGGTTCCAGCCCAGAGGAGGCAACAGCCGTGGAAACTTTGGCAACAAGAGCGCCGGATTTGGGGATAGCAGGAACGCTGGAGGTCGTGGTGGCGGATTTGGGGACAGTAGGAACTCTGGAGGACATGGTGGGGGATTTGTGGACAACAGGAACGCTGGAGGTCGTGGGAGGGGATTTGGGGACAGTAGGAACGCTGGAGGACGTGGAGGCTTCGGATTCGGCATGGACAAGGCTCAGGCCTTCAACCAGAGCTGGCAGCAAGGGGTGAGTCTCCGTTTGAGGTCAAAGGGCAAATCCTAACTTGTTAACCTTGTACTACAATTGATACCACTGAAATTGCTGGTAACTACTTTATTGAGGGAAAATGTACTTACTGCGATATGTGGTTCTCACCTAGCTACACTACAAAAGTATGTGGACACCTGCTCGTCGAACATCTCATTCCAAAATCATGGGCATTAATATGGAGTTGGTCCCCCTTTTGCTGCTATAACAGCTTCCACTCTTCTGGGAAGGCTTTCCACTAGATGTTGGAACATTGCTGCAGGGACTTGCTTCCATTCAGCCACAAGCGCATTCGTGAGGTCGGGCACTGATGTTGGGCGATTAGGCCTGGCTCACAGTCAGCGTTCCAATTCATCCCAAAGGTGTTCGATGGGGTTGAGATCAGGGCTCTGTGCAGGCCAGTGAAGTTCTCCACACTGATCTCTTAAACCATTTCTGTGTGGACCTCGCTTTGTGCATGGGGGCATTGTCATGTTGAAACATGAAAGGGCCTTCCACAAACTGTTGCCACAAAGTTGGAAGCGCAGAATGTCATTGTATGCTGTAGCGTTAAGATTTATCTTCACTGAAACTAAGGGGCCTAGCCCGAACCATGAAAAACAGCCCCAGACAATTTCTCCTCCACCAAACTTTACAGTTGGCACTATGCATTCGGGCAGGTAGTGTTCTCCTGGCATCCGCCAAACCCAGATTCGTCCATCGGACTGCCAGATGGTGACGCGTGATTCATCACTCCAGAGAACGTGTTTCCACTGCTCCAGAGTCCAATGGCAGCGAGCTTTACACCACTCCAGCCGACTTTTGACATTGCACATGGGGATCTTAGGCTTGTGTGCGGCTGCTCGGCCATGGAAACCCATTTCATGACGCTCCAGACTAACAGTTCTCGTGCTGACGTTGCTTCCAGAGGCAGTTTGGTAGCGAGTGTTGCAATCGAGGAGCTTGTGTGGCCTACCACTTTGCGGCTGAGCCGTTGTTGCTCCTAGACGTTTCCACTTCACAATAACAGCACTTACAGTTGACCAGGGCAGCTCTAGCAGGGCAAGACATTTGACGAACTGACTAGTTGGAAAGGTGGCATCCTATGACGGTGCCACGTTGAAAGTCACTGAGCTCATCAGTAAGGCCATTCCACTGCCAATGTTTGTCTATGAAGATTGCATGGCTGTGTGCTCAATTTTATACACCTGTCAGCAACAGGTGTGGCTGAAATAGCCGAATCCACTAATTTGAAGGGGTGTCCACATACTTTTGTGTATGTTATTTTTTTCTGTCTGCATCTAACTCCCTTTATGTCTGTCCCCAGTTATGGAACCAGAAGCCATGGAGACAGCAGTATCAGCCAGGATACTATTAAAGACTTTCTGATCAAAAGGACTGGTGGCCGATAATGGAAACCCACCACTAGCCACAGATGTCCGTCTCTCCCACCACCCCGTTGTTTTTCTAGATCCAACTTTTAAATTAAAAACTAAAATACGACAAGACTATGGAGCAACATTCCACATGAGGAAAGAAGTCTCTTTGAAGCTTTATGTGTTTTTTCATTTGATTTTGTACATTTTATGATATTTTTCCAAATTTTAAAGATATCTCATGCTTTTAAAAATCCCATGTTTGAGAAATATTCCACATCAGGAACCACAACATTTTTGCTCTGCTTCAGCGACATTTGTTTGAAAGATTTTCATTGTTGTGCATTTTCTTTTGTTTTCTTTTTTACTAAATGTAAATATTGTTTGTTGTGTAAGGAGTGAGAACACTTACTAACTGAAAGAACCATCTTTTAAGGTATGGTAGCAATAGTATTGTTAGTGATTTGTATATGTAGTCCGTAAGCAACAAATAGTAATTTCGCGTCAAACGCCATTATTAGATTTGTCTTGTGATTTTTCATTAAAACATCAAGCATGTAATCTAAACTCCGTAGATCTACAATAAACAACATATTTGCTTTTTTACAAACTTCTATGGCTTATGACTTTTAATTGAGTTCAAAGGTTACCTAAAATACCTTTTTGAATGGGCAATGGCCTGGTTTGCTACTTCAAACAACAAGGACATCCGCCCTCATCTCTCCACAGTTAGCGCTTCACATAATGCTACTTATTGATGTAATTCAATCGTTGATGCACAACTAGCTTTTCTTTTTATCTTCAATGATACAGGTTATTCTCATTGAGAATCTTTTGCAAGAGCGACTAGGGGTGTATTCACTAGGGAGCAAATGAAACTGTGAGGGACCTACCGAAGTTCGTCCAATAGAAACTAGATTTTCATTGCAAAACGTTTTCAGTTTTTGATTACACCCGTGTTCATCTGGATGCATTGTACTTTGAATAACTATTTGAGCAAAGCCATTTCTGTAGGATATTAGAAGCTGTTTCTGTAGGATATAGGAAGCTGTTTCTGTAGGATATAGGAAGCTGTTTCTGTAGGATATAGGAAGCTGTTTCTGTAGGATATAGGAAGCCATTTTAGCACTACATTATGTCTTTTGATATTGTCATTTTGTGATTTTGTATTTGTCTTGATATTTAGGGCACATTACTGATTGTGGAACCTGATGAGGCTTGCTTCTCATGTGTAGATTGAAGAGTGCTTCCTTTATTTAATTTGTCCATACGTTTATTTGGTTGAATGTTGTGGCATTTTTCTAACCTGGTTAAGCTTTGATTGGTGCATTGTAATTAAGACTACACATTAAGCTAGTCCTACATGACCACACAACACGTTTTTCAATTGTTTACATTTGATGTTCTGTGCTATTTGAACCTAGCCTGAGTGCCAGTCTGTTTGTGCTATCATGCCAACTCCTTGTCAATGGAGTTGGCAAGAGCACAAACAAATCTGTCACCAGGCTAAATTAAACCACTGTTTTAATGGAAGAGTATATATTCTGTGGCTGGTTTAGCATGCATGTTCAACACTCAGTTGTACGCTATATTGAAAATGGGTGGGGGTAAAAACTACAGTGGTTTGCATTTACACCAGCAATTAAAGGGCTACATATTGACAGTGTATAACCCACCAATACCTTCACTGCTGCTAGAAGTCAGTGACATTGAAACATTCAAAGCTCTCGGTCTTCTGTAGTGTGTGTGTGTGTGTGTGATGGAGGTTCCTGAACACTTGCGTTAACTCCCGAATGCTACTGCACTGGCTTAAGATCAGTGGGCTAACAGTCTTAAGTCACACAGACGATCCAGGTTCAAACCAAGTCAGTCAAATATGGTTGAAGTGTGTGAACCCTCTGATCAAATGAATTGGTGGCGGTGTAGCTGGACAATCGCAGCTCTTACATGTAACCTCTTACAGCTCAGGCCAAGTAGCCTACCAGCAGTGTTAGTGATGTGTGTTCCACTATAACATTGTGTTGCTAGATCATTTAAAACAATTAGACACAATTGTATTGAGTCCATTTTGTAATTGTTTCATTAGCTTATTTAACATTTTATAAACATGGTGTACTGTATATAGTTGACCACCTTTTTTTCCTTCTCTATCATGCCAAATTGTATGGATGACCATGAACTGATTTCCGGTATGCTGCGTGATAATGCAAGTGAAAAATAACCCAATCAAACAGAGATCAATTTTTCATTAAAGTCATGTGTTTCAGCAATTTGTATTACTTCTCAACTGAGTACTTCTCAACTCAATATACTCAAGTTGTAGGTAACTTTGGGCTCGTCTCCCTGCTGGGATCTTTTTTTTTTTTATTGAAAAATGTTTTGATATTTGTTTCAGTTATGTTTAAGTATGTTTGTCAATAAAGTGAATGACGCTGATGAAATTGAGTTTTATTATACAAACTAGTGCTTCTCCCTCAATCTCCAAGGGGAGGTTTCCCGGACATCGTTAATCCTAGTCCTGGACTAAAAAGAAAGATCAATTTAGAATCTCCCTCCGTTAAAAGTGCTTTTTAGTCCAAGATTAGGCTTAATCTGTGTCTGAGAAACCGGCCCTAAAGCTTAACTTTATATCTGAACGTGATGTAGGACGAAACCTAGCTGCCTATTGCTGCTGAAACTAACATTTCAGAAGTCTGGCTGACACCAGCTGCTTTTCCAAACCAAGAGCACACAACAGGGTGCCTGGGATTGTCTCTTGGTATTGACTTTGAGATGTGTACCCAGACTGCCCTCAGCTCTAAAGCCTTATGTACCCCATTAAAATGACAAGACCCCCCTCGCAGGCTGCAAATTGAGCCTTGATATTGTCTATAGAGTTCTCTCCGCATGACTATGTCTGGTGCCTATTTATCTGCTAAGCCAGATGTAAACATGGTGATGTAAATATGCGCTCTGGGTTTTTGTGACAGTGTCTGCTCCCTGTGTGGCCATTGGCTCACCCTATTGGAAGCAAACAGCCAGCACACTCAGTCAGGAAGCTGATGTGAATGGTGCTCACCAAATCTGTTTAACCATGCCAGCGCATGCTTAATGCTCTTTCACTGAAACAAGTTACTAGTCATTAGATCTGTTATTGACTTAGTACCAACTAAATACAGTGCTAAATAGGGTGACAAGGTGTATGCTTAGCTGGAGACAAGTGTACTGTATGTGTGATGGGTGTAAGGATACCTTGATGGATACAGCCTGACATAGTGTGGTGGGGGTAAGGATACCTTGATGGATACAGCCTGACATAGTGTGGTGGGGGTAAGGATACCTTGATGGATACAGCCTGACATAGTGTGGTGGGGGTAAGGATACCTTGATGGATACAGCCTGACATAGTGTGGTGGGGGTAAGGATACCTTGATGGATACAGCCTGACATAGTGTGGTGGGGGTAAGGATACCTTGATGGATACAGCCTGACATAGTGTGGTGGGGGTAAGGATACCTTGATGGATATAGCCTGACATAGTGTGGTGGGGGTAAGGATACCTTGATGGATATAGCCTGACATAGTGTGGTGGGGGTAAGGATACCTTGATGGATACAGCCTGACATAGTGTGGTGGGGGTAAGGATACCTTGATGGATATAGCCTGACATAGTGTGGTGGGGGTAAGGATACCTTGATGGATACAGCCTGACATAGTGTGGTGGGGGTAAGGATACCTTGATGGATACAGCCTGACATAGTGTGGTGGGGGTAAGGATACCTTGATGGATACAGCCTGACATAGTGTGGTGGGGGTAAGGATACCTTGATGGATACAGCCTGACATAGTGTGGTGGGGGTAAGGATACCTTGATGGATACAGCCTGACATAGTGTGGTGGGGGTAAGGATACCTTGATGGATACAGCCTGACATAGTGTGGTGGGGGTAAGGATACCTTGATGGATACAGCCTGACATAGTGTGGTGGGGGTAAGGATACCTTGATGGATACAGCCTGACAGTGGTTTTCCCAATCTTGCCTTATGGAAAATAATAACAAAATCAGACTTCTTAATAACATTTTTTATATTTAATTATGAAATCATCCATAGTATTTACAGCTCAAAAATATAACATTTGAGACAAAATCAGACTTTCTTCTGAGTAATACAGTATACAATTCATAAAGTCTAAATTATGAATTCATTATTTACAAATATAATACAAAGTGCTTGTGAATAGTTTGTCTCAAGAAATCTGTCATCCTCCCTCTTATTATAGACTAGCCTTAAACTCTCCCAGAGAATTCCCATTTTAAATAGAAAAGTACTTTAAGTTCATTTGGAGGTGCCCTGCCCAGTCCGCAACGATTGACTTCAAACTATGGAGATGTTGTCCATAGTGCAGGCACACGACTCCACGATCATGTTGGGGAACTCGGCCACTTCTATCTCGGTGTAGTCACCCTTCTTGACTAGGTACATCATGGGCAGCGGGGCGCTCTCCGCGATGGTACACTTCCGCTCCCCGTAGCCGTAGTTGCGCTTTGGCTGCTTGCACCCCCCAGCGCATCGGTAGGCCTGGTAGCCCGCGGGTTCGATTATCCAGTACTGGGTCCACGTGAGCGCGCGGAAATTTATGAAGTATTTTTCTCTGCAGCACGTGTCCTTATCTGGATTGGTTTCACAGTCGCCTCGAGACCTATGCAAACAAAGAAATAGGGACTCGTTAGTTAACTTGCACTAATTGAAGCGTAAAGGTAGGGTCATTGTCACTGGACCAACGTAACAATATTTTTAAAATATTCTGAATCTGCATAACAAAGCGCGCCTTACCCAAACTCTTCGAGGTTGAGTGTGTAGAGGATCAGTTCAGGTTTTCCCAAGGTGTTTTCCGTCTGGTCCTGGGTGGTAAAGTGGACACTCTTGGCCATTTCTGCCGCGTAGCTGCCAGGTCTCTCGCCCTCGATCCACACCTCCAGGTTCATAGGTGTTTTCTGCTGCGTCTTTGACCAATAGTGCACACCCTGGGTGACATCAAAGCTTATCCAGCCAGTCTCATGGATGGGAATCAACCTACAGGAAATAAATGGTTGATTAAAAATCTTGCACATAGGTTCTAAATTATAAGAACAAAGAACAACACATTGCCTAACGGAAATGATCTGGACATGACATGGCTTTGCGTAAAATCTTACCGTGAGTCCACCAGAGATGTTGTGTTGGAGCCGTTCTCCAATATCTCTACCCAGTAGATGGAGACTCTGGCGTTGTTAACCGGACGGTGGTTCATCTTTTCGGGCATGGAGCGCTTGTGAGGAGGGGCTTTTTTGTACAGTTTCAGTTCGGCCATGGTCACCTCGCTGTTATGGGGGATGCGGGTGTCCATGTCAAAGACCATCCGTTGCCGAGTGGTGTCCGAGTACACAAACTCCCCATAGATGTCTTATGAAACAGAACATAGAAATTATTAAGTATTGAGTCTAAAATGCTGACTAGCATGAATGGGTTGAAACTATGAGGGCGCACAAAATGTGTACAAAACAGTCATTTGTGCACCTGTGCCAAAATCGGTCTGCAACAAGTAAATATAACATCCAAGCAATATATTGCTATTTTTATATATACAAAATACAATTCAGTTGTATTTATGTCTCAAGCAGGCCTACTAGAAAATGATCTTACCTGCATTTCCTGGGATTCCTCTCAGAATCCTCGCCAAGCTTGGCAGAGACCTGCGCCGCCTTTCGTGGTGCAGCTTCAGCATTGACAGGTATTTATTCTTAATGTGCGCAGGCATTACAAGATTCTCCAAATCCCTTTTGTGAATTTTCGGAACTTCATCCAGCCCAAGTTTCTGAAGCAGGGCATCCTTCATGTCCTTGTGCGTGAAAGCCTTGGAGACGGTGAAAAAAGCAGCAACGCACAAAACGCAAGCACGGAGAAAATCCATCGTAAATCTTCCAAAATTGTGTCTTGTCCAGCAGAGAGAAGAGAACTACAGTAGCAGAGAAGCTCAGAGAGAGAAAGTGGTCCTCTGACATCAGGGGGCCCTTATAAGCACCTGGCCCTCCCAGTCATCAGTCATTCGCACATTGAGAATGAGGGGGTTGGGCAGCGGGAACGATAGACTATCTCAACAAAAGTGTGACATTAAAAGCCACGTCCCCGTCAGGACATCAGAAGTGCCATACTTTAAACGGCAACTATCTCCCCAAATTATATTTTATCAGTTTCATTTATAGATTCATTTAAACACCATTCCTCTAAAATATACAATTTATATCCTACAATTTTATACAAAGCATTTGTAAAATCCAGTCTCCTCCATATCAATGGGAAGTCTAGTGATGCTTGTCGCAAAATAAATGACTTTGCAGTGATAGTTTGCAGTAAGAAAACTCCTAAACACAGCATAGTTATTGGATTGTTTAAGAAAACTCCTAAACACAGCATAGTTATTGGATTGTTGTGGGTTGAGAATATTGAATTGATCCTGAGGCATACATGTAGTAGCCTATTTGTAGTATAGTTCTAAGTAATGTTAGTTTGCAGGATGAGATGATTACAAATTGGTTGGAGTTAAACGTTCCTATATTTTAAAATCACCCCAAAGGATGGACACTTGATTGATGCAATATTTTGGTCAATACTAAAGTACATTTAATAAAATATTTTCTAACAAATGCCTTCCCATTGACTGTTCTTCTTGTTGTCTACATCTGCACAGGTGTTCCAGACAGCCCCTGCCCATGTGAACCTGGGCTGCACCCTCTCAGCCTAATGTGTACATTCCACTGGACAATATAAAGCAAGACCAGTCTGGCAACAGTCTGTCAGTGTGCTTATTTCTGTCTGTCTAGCAGCCATTTTAGTTGATCAGGGGTGCCATGTATGGCCCATCACTGGTGTGGGGACTCTGGGGAGGAGGAGGCAAGGGGATTAGATGTTTATTCCAAACCCATCACCCCTTCTGCCCCTTCAACAGATTAAAATTATTAGCCAAACAGACAGTTAATCCAAGGGCCAGGGTGAGGATGTGGATTGGGAGGCTCTTCACATGTTGGTGATTATCTGATTCCACTGCAGGATTTGCCTTGCCTTTTTTGTCACACAAACATTAGAAGAGGGGCTGGTTTTCCTAGAGTGGGCCCTGTCTGTGTTTGTGTATTGGGGCTTATTTGTTTCGGAGATGTCAGACAGACTAAAGGAGGACACAGGAAGGGCAAATGACAGATGACTGTCAGGGGGACATTGTTAGCCGCATCTGAAGACCACACTCAATGCTCTGCTCTGGAACTACTGTTTTCAAGGCGATTACACTCAAATGTTTATTCTATTCTACTGAGCCATTTATTTTATGTTCGTATTCTTATATTTTATTATAGTTGTTGCATTGTCAAGAAGGAACCTGCAAGTAAGCATTTCGTTGGACGATGTATACCATGTGTATCCTGTATATACAACTAATAAAAGCTTGAAACTTGTTTCACATTTATTAGTAAAAGTACCTGAAATGTATGGCTACATATTTGGATCAAATACACTTGGCAAATACCTAAACTAGGCATGATAGTACACTGTCCATGGAATGTGCACCAAATGATATGACATACAGTATAGATATATTTGACCCAAGTCTGCATACATAAATCACTACATCCTAAAGTCTACATAAAAATAATTATTGACATTAAGAAATATTAAAATCAGTACTACTTATTTACATTATAGGCTACAATCATTTCCACACCAGTGAACGTGTGATCTTTTCACTAACAAAGTAGTTTGTAATATGCAATAAGACTGTCTGATGATTAGAAACACTACAGAATGTGAATTCAGACCAGATACATTGGGTCAGCCTATACATAGCATATGGATCTCAGTGATCTCTTGAAAGCACAAAACTTTGCCTTCCATTTGTACCCCTAATGTAGTAAATTAAGATTCCTCGTGTGATATTTGGCAGTCTTTCCCCCTTCCCTTCCCGATCACAGACAAGACAGGCTGCTGGTTCAAAGCACAGATGCATCTGATTCTCCCAATGTGCCATTCCTCTTCAATCAAAGGCCTGCCAGCTCCTACAATCAACAACAGAAGTGTTAATTAACATCTCACATCTGCATTAGAAAAGCTGTCCAATTTATCTGTGATCTGCTTTCTTTTGTGAAACATAAAATCTCCCTCCCTATGCATCTTGTGATGGGTGAGTTGAAGGAGTCAAACGCAGTAGGGTATTCACAGAAATAACAGGATTTATTCCAGAAAACAGAGTTTACATTTTTACATTTTAGTCATTTAGCAGACGCTCTTATCCAGAGTGACTTTACAGTTGAGTGCATACATTATTATATGTATTTTTTCATACTGGCCCCCCGTGGGAAGACCATTATGCAGTAATGCGTCAAAAGAGTCCAGTGCGCACTGGAACCAACAAAGCACACGGGGAAAATAACCTGGCGATACAAAATACAAGGAGCTCCACTATCCTCACAATAAACAATCACACACAAAGACAAAGGGGCAGAGGTAACACTTATACAGGTACTGATGAGGGGATATGAACCAGGTGTGTGTAATGAACAAGACAAAACCAATGGAATGATGAAATGAGGAGCAGCAGTGGCTGGAAGGCCGGTGACGACGAACGGCGAAGCCTGCCTGAACGAGGAGAGGTGGCAGCTTCGGAGGGAGTAGTGACAGTACCCCCCACTTGGGGACGGCCAGGAGGACGTGGAGCAGGGCGAGCCGGATGGCGACGGTGGAAATCCCGCAATAGGGAGGGATCGAGGATATCCCTCACCGGAACCCAGCACCGCTCCTCCGGACCGTACCCCTCCCACTCCACGAGGTACTCCGGACCGTACCCCCACCCGACGCCTCGAATCCAGGATGGAACGGACGGAGTACGCCGGGGCCCCCTCGATGTCCAGAGGGGGCGGAAGAACCTCCCGCACCTCCGACTCCTGGAGTGGACCAACCACCACTGGCCTGAGGAGGGACACATGGAACGAGGGGTTAATACGGTAATCTGGAGGGAGTAATAACCTATATGTAACCTCGTTTATCCTCCTCAGGACTTTGAACGGCCCCACAAACCGCGGGCTCAGCTTCCGGCAGGGCAGGCGGCGGGGCAGATTCTGGGTCAAGAGCCAGACCCGATCTCCCGGTACGAAGACCGGGGCCTCACTGCGGTGGCGGACAGCGTTGGCCTTCTGGCGACGCACAGTGCGCTGGAGGTGGACGTGAGCAGCATTCCACGTCTCCTAGGCGCGCCAAAACCAGTCATCCACTGCAGGAGCTTCGTCTGGCTCTGATTCCACAGTGCCAGAACCGGCTGATAACCTAAAACACATTGAAAGGGCGATAGGTTAGTGGAGGAGTGGCGAAGAGAGTTCGGAGCATATTCTGCCCATGGCAAGAACACTGACCACTCCCCCGGCCGGTCCTGGCAGTAGGACCGCAGGAACCTACCCACATCCTGATTCACCCGTTCCACCTGCCCAATACTCTCGGGGTGAAAACCAGAGGTCAGGCTGACCGAGACCCCCAAACGTTCCATGAACGCCTTCCAGACCCTGGATGTAAACTGGGGACCCCGGTCAGACACTATGTCCTCTGGCACCCTGTAGTGCTGGAAGTAAACAGTGCCTCCGCAGTCTGCAGGGCCGTAGGGAGACCGGGCAGAGGAAGGAGGCGGCAGGCTTTTGAAAAGCCGTCCACAATGACTAAAATGGTGGTGTTACCCTGAGAGATGGGAAGATCAGTGAGAAAGTCAATACACAGGTGGGACGATGGCCGTTGTGGAACTGGTAAGGGCTGTAACTTACCCGCTGGAAGGTGCCTTACTCTGGGCGCAGCCAAGGTAGGCCACCAGTACGTTCCGGTCAGGCAGCACACAGTACGACCGATACCTGGGTGACCAGAGACGTGTGTGCCCAATAGATCAGACGGTCACGGACAAGAGACGGCACGTACTGCAGCCCAGCTGGACACAGGTGGAGATGGCTCTGTGCTTAAAGCCCGCTCTACAGTGGGGAGAACAAGTATTTGATACACTGCCGATTTTGCAGGTTTTCCTACTTACAAAGCATGTAGAGGTCTGTCATTTTTATCATAGGTACACTTCAACTGTGAGAGACGGAATCTAAAACAAAAATCCAGAAAATCACATTGTATGATTTTTAAGTAATTAATTTGCATTTTATTGCATGACATAAGTATTTGATCACCTACCAACCAGTAAGAATTCCGGCTCTCACAGACCTGTTAATTTTTCTTTAAGAAGCCCTCCTGTTCTCCACTCATTACCTGTATTAACTGCACCTGTTTGAACTCGTTACCTGTATAAAAGACACCTGTCCACACACTCAATCAAACAGACTCCAACCTCTCCACAATGGCCAAGACCAGAGAGCTGTGTAAGGACATCAGGTATAAAATTGTAGACCTGCACAAGGCTGGGATGGGCTACAGGACAATAGGCAAGAAGCTTGGTGAGAAGGCAACAACTGTTGGCGCAATTATTAGAAAATGGAAGAAGTTCAAGATGACGGTCAATCACCCTCGGCCTGGGGCTCCATGCAAGATCTCACCTCGTGGGGCATCAATGATCATGAGGAAGGTGAGGGATCAGCCCAGAACTACACGGCAGGACCTGGTCAATGACCTGAAGAGAGCTGGGACCAGAGTCTCAAAGAAAACCATTAGTAACACACTACGGCGTCATGGATTAAAATCCTGCAGCACACGCAAGGTCCCCCTGCTCAAGCCAGCGCATGTCCAGGCCCGTCTGAAGTTTGCCAATGACCATCTGGATGATCCAGAGTAGGAATGGGAGAAGGTCATGTGGTCTGATGAGACAAAAATAGAGCTTTTTGGTCTAAACTCCACTCGCCGTGTTTGGAGGAAGAAGAAGGATGAGTACAACCCCAAGAACACCATCACAACCGTGAAGCATGGAGGTGGAAACATCATTCTTTGGGGATGCTTTTCTGCAAAGGGGACAGGACGACTGCACCGTATTGAGGGGAGGATGGATGAGATCTTGACCAACAACCTCCTTCCCTCAGTAAGAGCATTGAAGATGGGTCGTGGCTGG